ATACACCAGAAAACCTGCCTCTCAAACTTAGTAATGAATACTTTCTACGTGCAGTCACTGTGCAAAATGATTTAGACCAAAAGCGCAAATCCTCACATTCCACCCAAAGGGCTGTTCGTTTGCTTGTGTGTTGGCATGGCCCATGAGCTCAGAACAGTTTACATTTTTCTTTCTTCATCAAGAGTCCCATGCTCTCCCCACTGAGCCATTCAGGTGCCTCACAAAAGTTTACATTTTTAAAGGGTGTTAAAGCAAACAGAAATATGCAATAGAGACTGTGCCCCCAAAGTCTGAAATATTTACTACCTGACCCTTTATTTACATGGAAAGCTTGCCAGCCCCTTCTTGAGACCTTCTTGTCACGTCTTACCGCTTAGACAAGAATATTTCTCCCCGTACTTAAAAGCTGCACTGTGTTTCGCTGCAGTAACTAAACATCATGGAGTCACGCTTATGTTACTAGGGCTAAGGGTGTGGGCACATCTCCAGCAGAGGGTAACAGTGGCGGTCTTGGGGGGCAGGGAAGCAAATGCTTGGTGCTGGAGCAATGGGATAGACCAGTACAATGTCTTCCCCAACCAAGACACAGGCGTGAGAAGGGAGATTTGGGGTCTCCCTCCAGCCCCACTAGAGAACTGAAATGACCCTCTGTGCTTTCTCATCAGCAAAGCGGTGATGGGATGCTGTCACCTTCTCCCAGGGCCTCTGGGTTTGGACAAAGGTTTACAAACCTTTACAAACCTTTACAACCTGGGCACCTCCCCTGTTCTAGCTCTCAGTGTTCCTGAGTTTATACCCAAGCTCGATGTGACCAGATGTCCACACAGAGGACCTCAAATGGTCATGGCCACTTTATTCTTAATAGCCCCAAACCCAAGTTTGTATCCAAAAGAGAGCACATGAGGGGCGCCTGGGTGGCTCAGTCGTTAAGCGTCTGCCTTCGGCTTGGGTCATGATCCCAGGGTCCTGGGATCGAGCCCCGCATCGGGCTCCCCGCTCGGCGGGAGACCTGCTTCTCCCTCTCCCACTCCCCCTGCTTGTGTTCCCTCTTGCTGTGTCTCTCTCTATCAAATAAATAAAAAATCTTTAAAAAAAAGAACATGGATAAATTACTGATATTCACAATATGAAAACTAATAAAGAGGTGCCTAGCTGGCTGTCAGTGGAGCTTGGGTATCTTGCTCTCGGGATCATGAGTTCAAGCCCCATATTGGGTGTGCAGTCTACTTTAAATAACTAAAATATCTTTTTAAAAATCAAGAAATACTTGTTTAAAAAGAAAAACCTTTAAAAAAAGAAAATTAATAAAGAGAAACCTCATTTAGAATGGAGTCAGAAAACCCAGAAACGGGGAGCTCTCACACAGGAACCTCCGGCAGGAACAAGCCTACTTTACTACCCCAGCAGGAGGAAGGTTTTCTCCGGCCCAGCGACAGCCCAGCCAGCCAATGAGGAACCACCACCACTCAGCCAATGAAGAACCACCACAGCTCAATGAGAAGTCATCCTCTCCTCCAATGGACTTTCCTTCAAAGCAGTCCCTCCCAGCTTCCTCCTCCCCTTTGTTCTCTGGACTTGGCTATGATTTGCCATGTCTTGCCATCCCAAATTGCAATTCCTCCGTTATTCCTGAATTAGCTCGTTTTGCTGGTAAAATAACTGGCTGTTTCATTTTTTTAAGGTCCAGAGCGATATCATCGGTGAAACTCACAGGCGCCATATTGAGCAAAAGAAACCAGACCCAAGAGAACCCATACCCTGATTCCATGTCCATGAAATTTCAAAACACAGGCTCAGCTATGGTGAGAAAAATCAGAAGAGAGATGACCACAGGGCTCAGGGCATTCCAGGGGCTGGAAATGACGTATACATGTCTCAATCTGCATGTTGGCTACAGGGAGTGTATATGGATGCAAAAGTCCGCTGAGCTGTCTGGTTAAGATTTACTCTTTAGGGTCTATGATTTATCCTTCAATACAAATTAAGAAAGAGAAAGTGACATGCGGAGGTGATGGGGGAAATGAGCCCTTTTGTTCACTTCCGGGGGGAGTGTAACCAGGGAGGGCTAATTTGGAGAACAGTCGGGCAGTATTTAGTAAAAGTGAAAATGTATATTCTCCACGTCTGAGAAGTCTGAGAAGTTCCCCTTCTCCACAGCCATCCTAGAGAAACGCTGTCCACTAAGTCACCTAAGGGGTCATCGACCCCTCGAGACAGTGCTGTTAGCATCTCCAGGTTACAAGGTAGGGAAACTGAGGCACGATTCAGCGGGCTCACCCTCGGCCCCACCTCACAGCTATAAAGTGTCAGAGTGAGGATTTGAACCCAGCACTCAGCCGTTCCCTGCGCGGTGTTCACAACCACCACCTTAGGAGGTGGTGCTGGCTGTTTCCCGGGGAACAGTGGAAGCAAGCAGCATGTCCGATGACTGGGGACTCAGTCAGTTGTAATACAGCCATGCTTAGTGAAACCATCGCAGGCAGTCGGACTTACTCATCTGCAGCTCAGGGTTCCCCCCGGAAGCCCGGGTGCCCCCTCCACGGTACCTTCTCTGAGCCTCAGTATTCCCGCCTATGAAATGGGCACATTCCAATCCCCCTGGGGGGGCTATTTTATTTTATTTTTTTAAAGATTTTATTTATTTATTTGCGAAAGAGAGAATGAGAGACACAGAGCACGAGAGGGAAGAGGGAGAAGCAGACTCCCTGCTGAACAGGGAGCCGGATGCGGGACTCGATCCCGGGACTCTGATCCCGGGACTCTGATCATGACCTGAGCCGAAGGCAGTCGCTTAACCAACTGAGCCACCCAGGCGCCCGCTGAGAAGGCTATTTTAAAACATGGATCAGATGACCGCCAAGATGTGTTTGGTGTGGGGACAAGTACCTAATGAAACTCCCAAAAGTTGGAGATGGTGGGGCAAGGGCGGGGCACCCAAGAGGCATGGGAAGATGGGCTTAAGCTTTCTCCCTCCCTAGCTGCAGAGGCCCCAAAGGTAGGGACCACTTCTCTCTTCCTCCCCAATGGATCCCCAGAGCCTAGACCTGCGTGGCACACAGTAGGTACTCAATAAAATTTCTCTCCCACCAGAGACACACACTAAGTAAGGTGCACTAGGTGGGGAGGAATTAGCATTAATTTAACTTCCATTTGATCCTCCTCTCATGACTCTTTACACGAACTCTAGCCTGGGGTCCACAGACCTCTTGGGAACCTGATGATGGAATTCATGAAGTAATGGGGGGGGAAATCACGTCTTTATTTTCACTGACCAACACTTGCCATTTTCTCAATTATAAATGAAGGCACCAGCAGGACTTGTGACTTTGTCCTCAATAGAAATCCATAGATATTTTCATATTAGATTGCTTTGCGGCAAACAACTCGAAATAGGGCAGACACCTGTGGCTATTAGATCTTGTCAGTTAAGGTGGTGGGAAATATACAGGCGTAGCCCGAAGCCTGTTTGTTTCAGTGTAGCTCTATTTCAAAAGGATTTTAAAGTGATTATCTTACACGTGTTAAACACAATTTTAAATTTGTGGTAAGATGTACTTAACATGAAACTTACCACTTTAACCATCTCTAACTGCACAGCTCCTTGGCATGAAGCACACTCACCCTGTTGTGCAGCCACCCCCACCCTCTGTCCCCAGAACTTTCCGTCTTCCCATTCAGCACTAACTCCCCACCCCTCCCCCGGCCCCTGGCTCCCACCATCTACTTCCTTTTTCTATAAATTTGACTCTTCTAGGCACTTCCTATGAGTGGAATCAGACAGGATTTGTCCTTTTGTGTCTTCCTTATTTCACTGAGCATGATGTCCTCAGGATCCATCCACGTTGTAGCAGATACCGATTTCCTTCTTTTTGAAGGCTGAATGATAGTCCCACGTATGGATGGACCACATTGTGTTTATCCATTTAGTGATAATGGATCACTAAGTCGTTTTTTAGAAATATTTTAATATGGGCGCCTGGGTGGCTCAGTTGGTTAAGCGACTGCCTTCGGCTCAGGTCATGATCCTGGAGTCCCGGGATCGAGTCCCGGGATCGAGTCCCGCATCAGGCACCCTGCTCAGTGGGGAGTCTGCTTCTCCCTCTGACCCTCCTTCCCTCTCGTGCTCTCTATCTCTCATTCCCTCTCTCTCAAATAAATAAGTAAATAAAATCTTTAAGAAAACGAAATATTTTAATAGATGTATTTCAACATAATGGACTTCCTTGTAACTTCTTGTATTTTGTTTTACGCATCTACAAATGGTATTTTGAGAAGACGCTCTGAGCTTCTCCAAACTGACAAAGAAACCCGGTCAAAGGCATTACGACTTTCACAGGTCCTTGTCCATTAAAATAAATAAACGAATAAAAATTATATTTACAACCATGTTGGTATAAAGACGAATATAACCCAGGAAGAACCATATTCATTGTTTTCTTTCTGATTTGAAAAGAAATGAAAACATTTTCGTGGGTCCCTAAAAGTATGGTGGTCCCACATCTTAACTATGCCCAGTGGACATGTGTGCACTGGGTTCAGGACCCCCAAAAGGTTAGGGTCCCTTATGAATTCTTAAATGTTATGTTTGCAGCGTAAGATATGCCATCTCAGCTGCCCCTCTTCCAGGCACCTGGCGATCCCCAACCCCCCCCAGGGTGGCCGATTTCGGGTAGCTCTCCCCCAATTATTACCCTATCCCCCCGTTCTATTCCGTGGAGAGCATTATCACTAGTTGAGATGATCTAATTTTTAAATTGTAGTTACTCTCTCCCTAGACTGCGGGCGCTCCGAGGGCAAGGCTCTGTCCCTCGTGGTCCCCAGCGCCCGCGCGGGATGTGCCCAAAGTCGCGGAAGATGGCAGCCCGAGGTGGGGCGCAGGGTGTCGCTGCGGGGCGCCTCGGGGACTTTCCCTGTCCCGCGAAGAAAGTGTGACCTCACCTTCCTGCCTCGCTCCCCGCGGGACGCGGAAGGGGCGGGCGGAGGCCGGGGGGTGGAGCCGCCCGCGCGCCCTCAATGCCCCGCCACCCGCGGGCACCGCCGCCAGGCCTCCCGGCCTCCAGCCCCCGCGCCGACGATCGATGGAGCGGGACCCCGGGTAGGTGGCGAGGGGACCCAGCGCCTGCTGGGTTGGGCTGGGGAGGCTGCTGCTTCCCCTAGGGTTCGCGACCAGCTGCTCCCCCCACCCCCCGCTCATGGTGCCCTCGCGCCCCTTGTTCGGTGCCCCCCTCAGCCCTCAGCTGCCCTCCTGGGTGGCGCTGGTCCTCCCCGACCCAGATTCCTCCTCACCCCCCTCGCCGGGTTGCTCCCCAACACCCCAGATCTCTCCCCAACACCCTGAATTCCTTCCTGACACCTCGAAGCCCACCCCACCCTCCCGGATTCCTTCCCACCCTCCTGGGTCCCTCCCCAACACCCTAGTTCTTTCCGAACGCCGCCGACTTCCCCCCAACTCCCCAGATTCTTCCCCACACCCAGAATTCCTCCCCGACATCCCGGATTTCTCCCTAACATCCGGTACCCCTCCCCAACCCTCCGGATTCCTCTCCAGTACCCCCCTCCCCGCATTACACACACACACACACACACACACACACACACACACACACACACACA